TTGACGCTGTCGTATCATAGGCTTGACCACGGCAATTTGCAATGTCTACCTTCTGTCTTTCTAAGCTTTCCCGAATTGTAGCTGCTATAACTGATCCGGTGGTTCTTGGAAGGTCACATAGATCTAGTAATACTTCACGCTGTATTGGATTTGTCGGGTCAGCAAAGTCAAGCTAATTTTTCTTTCTTTCTTTATTTTCTATTTCAAATAAAGTGACATTTCGAATTTTTTTTTTACTGAAAAATGGGGGGTGGATATCCACCCTATCCACCCCCCCTGTATCCGCCCCTGATAGGGTAATGGCAATGTGCCGCTGGATGGGATCACATTTTCACGGCTGGATTGATTACAATGGGATTGCATTTTGATTTGATTAGATTGGGGTCACGCATTTTCGGGATTTGGGGAACCAGACAATTCAGGTAGGCAGGAATTTAAAACTGGGAAGATTATTTACTTTCTTAAGTTTAACCCATATGTCAATTCATTTCGGGATGACCTAGTTAAAAGGCTTTATAAGGTAGATGCATAAACAGAAAGTTACTAAATTGGGATCGCCAAAAATTACATTTTCCCAAAGGTGACTAAGACGGGGTCTACTGTTTGGCCACAGAATAGACTATAATGGGGTAGGGGTTCTGACAGGCCTGCTGCACATACCCCGCAAAAATTAATCCAAGTGACCTCCCTGGGGCTTGAACAGCCATTGAGCAGTAGCGTATCATAAATTTATTCAAAGCTGATTTATGATAAGGTTTTACATCATAGAATGACACCTGGGTATTGGAAGTCAATTTGTATGAATGTACTGGTTTATGGGACACTAACTGACATATTGCTGATTGGCATTGCATTTATCAAGCCATACATCATAATGTTGTTAAATGTAAAAAAATAATAGATCTGTGGCAGCTCCAGGGGAGGGGCCCAGGGGGGCCAAACTGAGGCCCAAAGGGCCGAAAAAATTTTTGGAGACTGCCCCCCCACCTTTATCTAAGGGTCTGGATGCCGGGGCCCCCTCCTTATCTCAAGGTCTGATCCGGCACTCTAAATTCCCACTAAAAATGGTTTGCCATTAAATCCAGGTGACACTATTTGAGTCTAAGGGGAGAGAGGAGGAGGAAATTTGAACAAGCTTGTCTCAAAAGGAAGTGGGGGGCTGAAACTCTCAAATTGACTATCACACAATTTTCAATTCAGACTTTTGTAGCCTCTTCATAAGTTGGTGGAGGAGACTGTGGCACGTCTCCAACCTCCATATATGAAGGAGGCCCTTCACCAGCAATAGCATCAGAGGCAGGACCATTTGACTGTTCGTGTGTCTGAATGGAGGTCATTTGTAATGCTTCTGGTCTTTCAGCCGCTCGACTTCCCACATTCCTTCTTTCCTGTGCATTTGTTCTTCCTATTAGGGTTGCATTTCTGGTGGTCATTTGCCTAGCTGACTGCCTTCTCGTCCTCCAATGGCGCTAGCAGGCAAAGATCAGACAGAAACCCATTATTGCACATGAAATGTAAATAAACCGAGCAGTTTCAGAATCCAACTTGATTGTCGAATCACTTTTCTTCTCGCATTGATTCTGATCCAATACTTCGCTGTAACTACAAATGTATCCGCTATTTTGACCATAAATCTCTTCACAGTTATGATCGCCGTAGCATAAAGTCGTACAGCGAGATCTAAGACTGGTTTGCGAAGCGTCGCATCTCTTATTTGGTAAACAATCATATTAGGTGCGACAAACGTCACCACCACAAGTTCGCATCATACATATCCCCTTGGCCACTTCCTTCCCAGTTTCTGTAGATTTGCAGCAGCGTTCCCCAGCATAAGGGCAATCACGGTCCTCGTCACACGCGAAAGTGGATTGTAAATAAAGTAAACAACCAAAAAGCCATAGGATAACATAAAATGCCATCTCCATGTTTGTTGACCTTGGCACGTGCGGTACGTCACGTATCAGTCTGAACCTCACCTAGTTCCCAGGTGCCCCGGAGAGCTTGGCAGGCGACGTATCATCCTTCCTCTCCCTGCAGGTGCGCTTGCAAACGGTGAGGTGATTTTTTAAACTGACATCATGCAATCGGATTTTATTGGAAAAACAATTATTGCACCATTCATACATATTTGGAGAAATCAGCTGAAAGAAACAGCCAGTGAACATTAACAACGCGATAACAATAGTTGACACTTGACGACCAGATTTCGTTTCAACAGTAAAAAATGGGGATCACCAGACTTGATTTGTATAGCCAAAATCTCAAAATTAGGACATTATCATATATCAATATACATGTTTTTATTTCATCATCATAATTTAAACAGGTTACTTTTAATGTCAGGTCACTTCAAAACAGTCTAAAGGATCTTCCAAGAAATCTATTTGGGTTCAAAAATAAAATATAAACATGGGTCTTCTAGACAAGACAACAAAACTCTTTTATTAATTTCAAGATAAAATAACGTGGTTATAAATAATGTACACCAATTTGTTTTTTTTTTTCATTAATGCAGCTGACATCCCAGCAACACAGTGAAAACAGGCACATGAGTGCATAAAGCAACTGGGAATATTGCCTCTCTCTCTGCCCACCCTGCGGGTACTCCATAAATTGCGTTTAAGGGATAGCTCTGCCAAAAAAGGGTACCTTTTTCAAACTTTGGGTATATGAAAGGGGAGGGACTCCACTAGTTGAAGTATCTGAAAGGGTAGGAAGTTTGTCATTATTCTCTCTAAAAAGCCCAAAAAGGGCCCAGGGGAGGGGGTACTTTTGGACTTTTTTGAGTGGGGATATGCCGCTGGGACCCTGGAAGCCTTAGCCTATACTAGAGCTAGTTTAAGTGAATTTTACTACCCTATACTAGACTAAACTCCCCATATCCCCCCTATCCTAGAGTAGTTGTTTTCCGGAAACAACTGTGGTCACTAGCACAGTCCAGCCAAAACAAAACCGCTTTGATTTTTTTATATTCTTGAGTGGCAATTCCCGGTTTCCCTAGTCTAGACTAAAATCTTCAGCCAATTGATCAGTTTAAACAGAAAATGATACCTTCTTGTAGACCTAAACTCTTTGATTTATATACCCTACCCCAGAGTAAATTGATTGAAAACCATACCCTTCACAGCGGCACATACCTATATAGCCCATATATGGCAGTAGCCCTCTCCCCTCGGGAAAATGGGCTAACAGATGCATTGCAAAAACTTGGGAGAATGTCCTGGTTACGTGGTTTATTCATATTTTAAAGGCAGTTTAAAGAATGCAGAATTCTAAACTAGGTATGTGAGAGGGGTACCATTTGTCAGTTAAGGTATACGGGGGTACCTTTTCTGCCAAAAATGGTATATGAGGGTAAAGATTTGGACCTCAGGGCAGAGCCTCCAGCTGTAAAACTTTATTGAATATCCCCCCGGGCCTGCCCCCTAAATGAGATGTTGGTCCAGGATTACCACAGCAGTGCAAAACCTGTAGCTGTTTATAGACCAAACCTTAGCTATTCAAACGTTGGACAGTGCTATCTGAAGGATAAATCTATATCGACTGGATAACCCCACTGGTTTCCATAACAGTTATCCACGGAATAGTTATATTTTATCTGGTGTATAGCGCTATCCAACATTTGAACAAGAGGGGTTTGGGTGGAAAGAGACAGTGCTGAGCAATGTTTTTGTCTCAGACGACAATACAGTAGACAGTTAACTTACCTGTGGTATATAGTCGTCCTTTTACCTCAAAAGCGGTTTTTTGAGCGATTTTGAATGAATTTGAGTTCGCTGTTGACTGTTCCATATATAAGCAACAGTCAACAGCGAAATCAAACTCCTTCAAAATCGCTCAAAAAACCGCTTTTGAGGTAAAACGACGACTATATAACACAGGTAAGGAAATTCAACGTTTATTTATCATTGATTTATATACATGGTTAGCGATATATCGCTATAGGTGAGGCAAACGGTAAATCCAGTACATTTACTATAAAATAACAATCGGCTACACAAACAGGATTGTGTGCGCTCCCTGTGGACTTACTGCAGATCTGAGACCAAAATGCCTCAGTGTATAAAGAGGAAAAGATGTGACCATTTTTAATTTAATAATGTAATCCCCATAGGAGTAAGGTTTCATATGGGTCTGGGGCCATATTTCCTTGAATTGTCAAAAATGTGACCTTTTTTCTTGAAAAAAGTTCAAACAAGTCCGGACTAGTCACAGAACAGGCAGGTAGGGGGCATTGCTTGATTGTTTAACATCAACCAAAAATTTCCAGCAAATTGTATTTGTTAAGTTAATGGGCATGACTTTCTGGGTTGTTGTTCAAGAAGAAATTTTCTGAAACAAATGGAATGTTTGAGAAGGTTGTCTTGTTTTCTAAGTTGAATGTTGCCGGCAGAAGTTTTACTTCCTTTTCTACAAACCTATCCTTGACACTTGTGTCACTCATTTGTAGCTGCTTTTCTGTAAATGGAACAGTTGTTTACTATTATTTGCCTAAAGTATGAACTGACTGGTTTGCTCATGTGAATAGTAACCAACCATTCTTTAACCATTCTTCTCTCCCCAATCTTCCTCTTCCTTCAAAATCAAAGAATATGCTTAATATCTTAAAGAAACTGTATGATACCTCCCTGTCTACCTAGTGATAATGATGATGACGATGCAAGAAGATTTAAAACTGATCACATTGCCATCTGCAGAACTTGGACCATGATTGAATGATAACAGAAAAGTGTAGCATAAGTTCATTTTAAGGTGCTCCTCTGCCAAAGGTTTGCTCGCGTTAACGATCCCACCAGCTAGGCAGGCTAAGATGTCGCTCAAGTCGCTTTTTCTAATTGAATTACCATACGTTTTTTAGAAAGGCCATTTCACCATTCAATCCAGGTGCCTAGGGGTGGGGGTAGCATTTGATTGAGCCTGATTCAAAAATTTCAAATGCTTAGCGGGGGGTGGGGGGGAGGAAGGGAGGGGGTTTAAAGTATTGGCACATAATTTTCAGTTCAGGCATTTGTAGCTTCCTCGTAAGTTGGTGGAGGAGATTCTGGCACGTCTCCAACCTCCACATATGAAGGAGGCCCACTTAGGGCAATAGCATCAACGGTTAAACCGTTTGAGTGTTCGATTTGTGTCTGATTAGCGGTCATTTGTAATGCTGCAGGTCTTTCAACCAGGCTTTCAACATTCCTTCTTCCCTGTGCATTATTAGCTCCTCCTGTTGAAAGTGTATTTCTTGTGGCCATTTGCCTAGCTGACTGCCCTCTCTTTCTCCATTGGCGCACGCAGACGACGATCAAACAGAAACCTAGCACTGCACATGAAATGTAGATGAACCGAACAGTATCAGAATCCATGTTGATTGCGGAATCACTGTTCTTATGGCATCAATTCTGCTTTAATACTTCGCTGTAAGTACAGGTGTATCCGCTATTTTGACCATGAATCTCTCGACAGTGGTCATCAGTGGAGCACTCTGTTGTACAGCGAAATTCAGAAGTGTCGCATCTCTTGTTTGGAAAACAATCGGCTTGGGTTCGACAAACACCAGCACCACAAATTCGCGAAACACAAAGCCCCATTTCTAGCCTTTTTCCAGTTTCTGTGTATCTACAGCAGCTTTGCCCAGGGCAATCATCGTCCCAATCACACGCCAAAGAAAAACTCAAGAAAAGCAAACCACTGAAAAGGCACAGACTAACGGACGTAACCTCCATGTTTTGTGTGTGTCAGCTGGTCACGCAACGAATTCCTGACGAGGGAGGGGAGGTTCCAAAAGACTTTTGGCGGGGAGGCAGTGAAAACTGAGGAGCATTTTGACGAGGTCCTGTTATGGTAAAATTCCGGCAAGCGACATGGACTTGAAACAGAGACACAAGTCTCGAGGACATAAAGATGGGTAAATACCGACAGGGACACGGTCTACTACTCCTCAAAATGCGAGACGACCGTATTATTATTTTAACCTCTCGTAGGGCTTGTGGGGGGAGTAATTGCACCCAGACCCGAATTTTTGGCGGTAAAATATGCAACCAGCCGCTAACACTGCGGTGCCCGACGTAAAAAAGAACGAAGGCAAGATTTGTTGTTTGACATTCTATTAAAGCCTGAGTCGAGTTTTAGTTATATGCCAACAAACACGAAGAGAAAAGGACAACTGAACACAGAAATAGCGAAAGGACTTGTAGACTATGGAAACTCTGTAATGTGGTTTCAGCAAGCCCAGGTTCGTGTGTATAGGGTTCACATATAAGAACTGTGATTTTGGAGCAGTTTCTGTAACGGAGCGACCTATCACTGAACGTGAATGATTGCAAAATGGATTGGTTTCTATGCCACTCTTCGTGGTAGTATGTCGACATGATAAGCTATCCGGTATAATTTAGGCATGGAAATATGGAAACGATTAACATCACAGTCGGTTTTTAATTTGCGTGCGATTTTTTAAGTATGAGGAAATTTTCGATTCATATAAAGTAGTTCCTTTGATTCTGTCAATGTAATTTGGATAATAAAATGGAGTGGTTGACGGTGTCAAATACTCTCAGTTTAAACAACGTTCACGTAACCACGATCTGCCCTTAGAGGGCACAATTATGGGTGGTTTCCAATAAAGTGGTCGCAGTTCAGTTAAAAAAAAAACTTTATTGGTGTCATGAGTGTTTAACACAACGTACGTATTGTCTGGAAAAAAAAAACCATCTTTCCCGTGTATTTAACAATTCTATCTTTCCAATATACTATACAGTAAAAAATTATGCATCATTAAACGTTTCTGGGAAATTGCCCACCTTCCCCTCCCCTAAGCCTACATTTTGCCCTATGAAGTAAATGTTAATGTTGGCTTAGGGGAGGGGTAGGTTGGCGGTTTCCCAGAAAGGTATAACATTTGCTTTTCTTTCGTTTAAAGGGGCTATGTCACGCTATTTGTCGTCCTTTTGAAACATTTTTTCGCTTCTACTGAATTCCAAAATAGTTGTCCAGTTTTGTCAGTTAAGACTTTCCAGGTTATTTAGGCATCGAAACTCACTCCTATCGTCTGTCTTAACGTGTGGCAAGGATGGCCATGCATTCAAACCTGAAAAAGTTGGGCAAACTTTTTCGTAGCATGAAAACTCAAATTTTAACGCTATGCCTGCAAAAGTCACCAAAAACTTATCATGGTTGGACGGGTACTCCCTTATGAAATGTATAGGTTTAATATCTTCTTCATAACATTACAGGAACATTTTGTGCATGGGTAAAGGTATATCCTCTTGATAGACACTCTTTCAATGTCGCCTTAGGACATATCCCAGCAGCTGAACAGTGAAGATAGGCACACACAACATAGGAGACCAACATGGTCAGGGCATATTCCCGTCCAGTAGCAAAAAGCTCCCAAGAGTATTATGAGAACCCTGCTAGTCCATTGCATTGTTTTTATAATATTACCTTAACAGTATATCACCAGTACTTATTTATACATGTGAGTGGAAAGAAACAGCGTTCAACAAAGATTCTTTACTCAGGAAACAATACAATACGATAGTCATATTGCACAAGTGAGTCCAATATGCTCATGTGTGGGCCCAGACCACTTTTCAAATAATGCTAACACTAAAGAGGCAAGGTTTTATAAGGGTCTCAGTAGCCATGTCATGAAACACTGAAAACCACTCTGGACCTGCACTTGTAACTGTCACGCCACTACTTCACCTCAGGGCAGTTGTTGTGAGTGATACATCCGTATCGATAGGGATGTATCACTCAGCAAATTTATCATGCTCTCCTCAATTTGAAACTTCAACATCACAGGGTTAACCCTGGGAATATGATACAATTTTCCTGTGGGTTTGGGATTTGCCAAAGTGGGATACAGAGTTTGATCCACAAGCATCAGTATTTTTGGCCATAACAGAGTCACAGCAACCAGAGATTATGAAAACTAGAGTGTCCTTTAATATGGATGTCCTAGAGCAAGTAGGGCTTTAAGCGTACAGCTGCCACAAGCCTGATAACATTGCCATCTTCAAAGCTTTGAGGCCCATGGGGGGCGGGGAGGCTACTTCCTAGTAATAGGGTAATGGCAATGTGCCGCTGGATGGGATCGCATTTTCACGGCTGGATTAACTACAATGGGATTGCATTTTGATTAGAGTCACAAGAATGGGGTCACACATTTTCGGGATTTGGGGAACCAGACAATTCAGGTAGGTAGGAATTTAAAAATGGGAAGATTATTTACTTTGTTAAGTTTAACCCATATGTCAATTCATTTTGGGATGACCTAGTTAAAAGGCTTTATAAGGTAGATGCATAAACAGAAAGTTACTAAATTGGGATCGCCAAAAATTACATTTTCTCAAAGGTGACTAAGATGGGGTCTACTGTTTGGCCACAGAATAGACTATAATGGGGTAGGGCTTCTGACAGGCCTGCTGCACATACCCAGCAAAAATTAACCCAAGTGACCTCCCTGGGGCTTGAACAGCCATTGAGCAGTAGCGTATCATAAATTTATTCAAAGCTGAATTATGATAAGGTTTTACATCATAGAATGACACCTGGGTATTGGAAGTCAATTTGGATGAATGTACTGGTTTATGGGACACTAACTGACATATTGCTGATTGGCATTGCATTTATCAAGCAATACATCATAATGTTGTTAAATGTAAAAAAATAATAAATCTGTGGCAAATCCAGGGGAGGGGCCCAGGAGGACCAAACTGAGGCCCAAAGGGCCAAAAAAATTTTTGGAGACTGCCCCCCCCCCTTTATCTAAGGGTCTGGATGCCCGGGCCCCCTCCTTATCTCAAGGTCTGATCCGGCACTCTAAATTCCCACTAAAAATGGTTTGCCATTAAATCCAGGTGACACTATTTGAGTCTAAGGGGAGAGAGGAGGGGGAAATTTGAACAAGCTTGTCTCAAAAGGAAGTGGGGGGCTGAAACTCTCAAATTGACTATCACACAATTTTCAATTCAGACTTTTGTAGCCTCTTCATAAGTTGGTGGAGGAGACTGTGGCACGTCTCCAACCTCCATATATGAAGGAGGCCCTTCACCAGCAATAGCATCAGAGGCAGGACCATTTGACTGTTCGTGTGTCTGAATGGAGGTCATTTGTAATGCTTCTGGTCTTTCAGCCGCTCGACTTCCCACATTCCTTCTTTCCTGTGCATTTGTTCTTCCTATTAGGGTTGCATTTCTGGTGGCCATTTGCCTAGCTGACTGCCTTCTCGTCCTCCAATGGCGCAAGCAGGCAAAGATCAGACAGAAACCTATTATTGCACATGAAATGTAAATGAACCGAGCAGTTTCAGAATCCAACTTGATTGTCGAATCACTTTTCTTCTCGCATTGATTCTGATCCAATACTTCGCTGTAACTACAAATGTATCCGCTATTTTGACCATACATCTCTTCACAGTGATGATCGCCGTAGCATAAAGTCGTACAGCGAGATCTAAGACTGGTTTGCGAAGCGTCGCATCTCTTATTTGGTAAACAATCATATTGGGTGCGACAAACATCACCACCACAAGTTCGCATCATACATATCCCCTTGGCCAGTTCCTTCCCAGTTTCTGTAGATTTGCAGCAGCGTTCCCCAGCATAAGGGCAATCACTGTCCTCGTCACAAAGTAAAACCACCAAAAAGCCATAGGATAACATAAAATGCCATCTCCATGTTTGTTGACCTTGGCACGTGCGGTACGTCACGTATCAGTCTGAACCTCACCTAGTTCCCAGGCGCCCCGGAGAGCTTGGCAGGCGACGTATCATCCTTCCTCTCCCTGTAGGTGCGCTTGCAAACGGTGAGGTGATTTTTTAAACTGACATCATGCAATTGGATTTTATTGGAAAAACAATTATTGCACCATTCATACATATTTGGACCGGAGAAATCAGCTGAAAGTAACAGCCAGTGAACATTAACAACACGATATCAATAGTTGACACTTGACGACCAGATTTCGTTTCAACAGTTAAAAAATGGGGATCACCAGACTTGATTTGTATAGCCAAAATCTCAAAATTAGGACAATATCATATATCAATATACATTTTTTTATTCACACAGTGAAAACAGGCACATGAGTGGCATAAAGCAACTGGGAATGTTGCCTCTCTCTCTGCCCACCCTGCGGGTACTCCCTATAATGGCGTTTAAGGGATAGCTCTGCCAAAAAAGGGTACCTTTTTCAAACTTCGGGTATATGAAGGGGGAGGAATTCCACTAGTTGAAGTATCTGAAAGGGTAAGAAGTTTGTCATTATGCTCTCTAAAAAGCCCAAAAAGGGCCCGGGGGAGGGGGTACTTTTGGACTTTTTGAGTGGGGATATGCTGCTGGAACCCTGGAAACCTTAGCCTATACTAGAGCTAGTTTAAGTGAATTTTACTACCCTATACTAGACTAAACTCCCCAAATCCCCCCCTATCCTAGAGTAGCTGTTTTCCAGAAACGACTGTGGTCACTAGCACAGTCCAGCCAAAACAAAACCGCTTTGATTTTTTTATATTCTTGAGTGGCAATTCCAGGTTTCCCTAGTCTAGACTAAAATCTTCAGCCAATTGATCAGTTTAAACAGAAAATGATACCCTCTTCTAGACCCAAACTCTTTGATTTATATACCCTATCCCAGAGTGAATTGATTGAAAACCATACCCTTCACAGCGGCACATACCTATATAGCCCATATATGGCAGTAGCCCCCCCACCCCCCCTTGGGAAAAAGGGCTGACAGATGCATTGCAAAAACTTGGGAGAATGTCCTGGTTACGTGGTTTATTCATATTTTAAAGACAGTGAATTAACAGCAATTAAAAGGATGCAGAATTCTAAACTAGGTATGTGAGAGGGGTACCATTTGTTAGTTAAGGTATATGGGGGTACCTTTTCCGTCCAAAATGGTATATGAGAGTAAAGGTTTGGACCTCAGGGCAGAGCCTCCAACTGTAAAACTTTATTGAATATCCCCCCGGGCCTGCCCCCTAAATGGGATGCTGGTCCAGGATTACCACAGCAGTGCAAAACCTGTAGCTGTTTATAGACCAAACCTTAGCTATTCAAACGTTGGACAGTGCTATCTGAAGGATAAATCTATATCGACTGGATAACTCCACTGGTTTCCATAACAGTTATCCACGGAATAGTTATATTTTATCTGGTGTAGAGCACTATCCAACATTTGAACAAGAGGGGTTTGGGTGGAAAGAGACAGTGCTGAGCAATGTTTTTGTCTCAGACGACAATACAGTAGACTTACTGCAGATCTGAGACCAAAATGCCTCAGTGTATGAAGAGGAAAAGATGTGACCATTTTTAATTTAATAGTGCAAATATATCCCCATAGGAGTAAGGTTTCATATGGGTCTGGGGCCATATTTCCTTGAATTGTCAAAAATGTGACCTTTTTTTGGAAAACAGTTCAAACAAGTCCGGACCAGTCACAGAACAGAAAGGTAGGGGGCATTGCTTGATTGTTTAATATCAACCAAAAATTTCCAGCAAATTGTATTTGTAAAGTTAATGGGCATGACTTTCTGGGTCGTTGTTCAAGAAAAAATTTTCTGAAACAAATGGAATGTTTGAGAAGGTTGTCTTGTTTTCTAAGTTCAATGTTGCAGGCAGAAGTTTTACTTCCTTTTCTTCAAACCTATCGTTGACACTTGTGTCACTCTTTTGTAGCTGCTTTTCCGTAAATGGAACAGTTGTTTACTATTATTTGCCTAAAGTATGAACTGACTGGTTTGCTCATATGAATAGTAACCAACCATTCTTTAACCATTCTACTCTCCCCAATCTTCCTCTTCCTTCAAAATCAAAGAATATGCTTAATATCTTAAAGAAAACTGTATGATACCTCCCTGTCTACCTAGTGATAATGATGATGACGATGCAAGTAGATTTAAAACTGATCACATTGCCATCTGCAGAGCTTGGACCATGATTGAATGATAACAGAAAAGTGTAGCATAAGTTCATTTTAAGGTCCTCCTGTGCCAAAAGTTTGCTCGTGCTAACAATCCCACCAGCTAGGCAGGCTAAGATGTTGCTCAAGTCGCTTTTTCTAACTGAATTACCATACGTTTTTTAGAAAGGCCATTTCACCATTCAATCCAGGTGCCTAGGGGTGGGGGTAGCATTTGATTGAGCCTGATTCAAAAAGTTCCAATGCTTAGCGGGGGGTGGGGGGGAGGAAGGGAGGGGGTTTAAAGTATTGGCACAGAATTTTCAGTTCAGGCCTTTGTAGCTTCTTCGTAAGTTGGTGGAGGAGATTCTGGCACGTCTCCAACCTCCACATATGAAGGAGGCCCACTTAGGGCAATAGCATCAACGGTTAAACCGTTTGAGTGTTCGATTTGTGTCTGATTAGCGGTCATTTGTAAAGCTGCAGGTCTTTCAACCAGGCTTTCAACATTCCTTCTTCCCTGTGCATTATTAGCTCCTCCTGTTGAAAGTGTATTCCTTGTGGCCATTTGCCTAGCTGACTGCCCTCTCTTTCTCCATTGGCGCACGCAGACGACGATCAAACAGAAACCTAGCACTGCACATGAAATGTAGATGAACCGAACAGTATCAGAATCCATGTTGATTGCGGAATCACTGTTCTTATGGCATCAATTCTGCTTTAATACTTCGCTGTAAGTACAGGTGTATCCGCTATTTTGACCATGAATCTCTCGACAGTGGTCATCAGTGGAGCACTCTGTTGTACAGCGAAATTCAGAAGTGTCGCATCTCTTGTTTGGAAAACAATCGGCTTGGGTTCGACAAACACCAGCACCACAAATTCGCGAAACACAAAGCCCCATTTCTAGCCTTTTTCCAGTTTCTGTGTATCTACAGCAGCTTTGCCCAGGGCAATCATCGTCCCAATCACACGCCAAAGAAAAACTCAAGAAAAGCAAACCACTGAAAAGGCACAGACTAACGGACGTAACCTCCATGTTTTGTGTGTGTCAGCTGGTCACGCAACGAATTCCTGACGAGGGAGGGGAGGTTCCAAAAGACTTTTGGCGGGGACGCAGTGAAAACTGAGGAGCATTTTGACGAGGTCCTGTTATGGTAAAATTCCGGCAAGCGACATGGACTTGAAACAGAGACACAAGTCTCGAGGACATAAAGATGGGTAAATACCGACAGGGACACGGTCTACTACTCCTCAAAATGCGAGACGACCGTATTATTATTTTAACCTCTCGTAGGGCTTGTGGGGGGAGTAATTGCACCCAGACCCGAATTTTTGGCGGTAAAATATGCAACCAGCCGCTAACACTGCGGTGCCCGACGTAAAAAAGAACGAAGGCAAGATTTGTTGTTTGACATTCTATTAAAGCCTGAGTCGAGTTTTAGTTATATGCCAACAAACACGAAGAGAAAAGGACAACTGAACACAGAAATAGCGAAAGGACACAGAGGAAAAGAGAGAGAGCACACGGACGACGAATTATCGAAAACTGAAAAGGGTAAGTCAAAATATAATTTTCACTTACTTAAAATTGCATGCTTTGATCCGTTATAATAATCTGCGCTTCTACATGATTTTTTCTATTAACACTGAGTTCTCTTTGTAAATACAGATACATTTTATGGCCTTTATGTACATGTTCTCTAAAAAGCCAGTTAATAGACCATTCGCATTTCCAGCATTCCTATAAACATACAAACCGACCCTTGGGGTGATAAAGCGGAAAAGGTGTTATTATGTTCTGCACACTTGCTTTTTCTATCATTGGTCAAAACGTTCAGGTAAATGAAAAATTATGTTTCCAGTTATATCAACATCGTGCTATGAACATAACTGATACTATCAATCACATAAAATCCCTCCCCCACTACCCAAAAATTGATCCCCATAAAGTAATGGCAGAGTTTGAGATCTCCTGAGTCTCTGTAGTTACATAATTTCCCTACAAAATCAATCTGTAACTAAACTACATCAGAAAAGACACGGAGACAAACTGTTTGGCACAGAGAGAGGGTTTATTGCAATCAAACAACTACCACCCCTGAAACACAGCCAGGGGTGGCTGCCCAATGAGAACAATAACCTCTCCACCCACCGAAACTAGGGTGGGAAGGGGGGGAAAGCTAAAACTATTGCTATAAGTCAGACCTAAGCACGAGAGTATAATAAGCAACGCTGACAGTAGACGCATATACTAGAGTGTAACTTGAGCTAACAAACACGTGAGCAAAAAGGCGCCAATAGCGATCGGGAAATTAACTGTTTTGAAAGGCCTTCCAAAACAAAACAATTTATTTCTATGATTTTGCACAACAGTGATCACCTGTGAGGGAATGATTCACTTGATTTAATATGGGATTATAATAATATCATTATTAAAATGCAGAGGGTGCAGCCTACAAACACTGTTAATCCTGTAAATATCTCTTATTGATTGATGATATATTAGTGTAACTATTCATCAGCAGGATGCCTGTCACAGCTGTTTTTTTGAAATCATTGGTATTATATAATATACATTTATGACATTTATGAAGTCGTCGGTATAGGAAATGATATTCCTCGCCCCAGTAACAGCAAAGTACATGGAAAAGAACCTCAAAATAACAAAACCTCTGTATAACGAACAAATTTTGTCAGTCCCTTGGCCCTTCATCTTATAGATTTTCCACTGTTTTTGGTCAAGAATAAGGCTACAAA